TTAGAGCACTGTATCCAGTTCTGATCACTTAAGGGAATATATGAAGACCCTTGAAAGAGTGCAGAAGAGAGTTACCAGAATAGCTCTAGCCAGGCAGATTTTTAGTTGCAAGGTTAGATTGGAAATACTGGGGTTGTTCTCCTTGAAGGATGTTGACGACAGATTGGGGGAGGTATAGTAGATAATGACGGGTTTAGGTATGGTAGTCAAGAAAAACCTCTTTGCATTAGCTAATGGTGCAGAAACCCTGGAAACATGTTTAAGACCAAAAGTGGGATTTACATTACGGTAGTGGTTCCATCCTTCCCTCCTCCTCTAACCAAATAAAATGGGAGTGTGAGAGAGATAGAGATTGAGAGAAGCTGTTAGAAAGTTTGTTGTAACCGAGGATGTACTTGGTCTGTTTGTAAAGATTGCATTAAGTAACCAGTTAATAGGAAATTACCAATAAAATAGTTTGAGAGGGGCTGCTGTGTGGTGGAAGTGCTGCAGTTGGTATAAGTGTGGGCTTAGGTGAATACTGAGCTTCAGTGAGTAAGGCAAGCAAGGTCAAGGCAAGGTAAGATTCTCTTATCCTTAGTGTTTAGGAACAGGGATGGCAGTTCGGGTGGTAGTGTGCTCCTCTTGCCAGATGTGGGAGATCAGGGAGCAGTCTAGTGTTCCTGACGACTGTGTTGGACACACTGAGGAATATACAGGGGGCAGAGAATGTGATAGACACTAGTTATAAGGAGGTAGTCTCACCATAAGTTCAGTCAGGCGGATAGGTGACCGCCAGGAGAGGCGGGCAGGTAGTGCAGGAGTCTCCTATGGCTAGTCCCCTTTCTAACAGGTATACCGTTTTGGATACTGTTGGTGGGTGGCAATAGCCTCTCAGGCGAGTATACAGCAGCAGCTAGGCCTATGGTACAACAACTGGCTCTGCTGTAGAGCAAAGTCCAACTGAGCGATAGTAGTAGGAGACTTGTTAGTTAGGGGCAGACAGGTGTTTCTGTGGCCACAATTGTGACTGCAGGATGGTGTGTTGCCAGGGTCAAGGACATCCGAGTGGTTGCATGAATTTTTTAAGGGGGAGGGTGAGTAGCCAGACATTGGTAGAAAGAGGGATGAGGTCCTGTGTAGTGAGTACAGAGAATTAGAAAAGAGGCTGAAAAGCAGGACCTTGAGTAGTAATCTCTGGGTTACTACGAGTGCCATATGCTAGTGAGGCAAGGAGTAAAGAGATAGGAGAGATGAATGCCTGGCTAAGGTGCTGGTACAGGGGGCAGGATTTCAGGTTCTTGGATCATTGGGACCTCTCCTGGGGCAGGGGTGAACTGCACAAGAGGGACGGGTTGTAGCTAAACCGGAGAGGAACCAATATCCTCGCAGGGAGGTCTGCTAGTACTACTCGGGAGGGTTTAAACTAGAGTGGCAAGGGGCTAGAAACCAGAGCGGTAGGTCAAGTGTGGAGGGATTGAGGGTAAGGTAGATTTTAGAACCAGTAAGTTGGAAAGGAAGACAAGTAAATGAACATAATGGTGCTAGTGGGCTGAAGTGTGTTTATTTCAATGCAAGGAGTATTATAGGTAAGACAGATGAGCTTAGAGCATGGATCAGTACATGGGATGAAAATGTTGTGGCCATTACAGAGATTTGGTTGAGAGAGGGACAGAATTGGTTGCTCAAGGTTCCAGGGTTTTGTTGTTTTAGACATGATAGAGATAGAGAGGGAGGTAAATGAAGGGGAAGAATTGCATTTATCAGGGAGAATGTCACATCTACACTCGGACAGGGCCTACTGGAGGGCTCTTCTGCTGAGGCAAGATGGATAGAGCTCAAAAATAAGATGGGTGCAATCACTGTGGTGGGATTATACTACAGGCCTCCCAACAGTCACTGAGACATGGAGGAACAAATATATAGGTAGATTATGGAAAGATGCAGTAACAACAGGGTTGTCATAGTGGGTGACTTTAACTTCCCAAATATTGACTGGGACTCCCTTAGAGCAAGAGGCTTAGATGGGGCAGAATTTGTTAAGTGCATCTAAGAGGGTTTCTTGAAACAGTATAGTCCAGCCGGAGGAGGGGCCATACTGGACCTTGTATTGGGTAATGAGCCTGGTATTTTGGAAAGAGTAACCACAACTCCTTAAGTTTTAAGACAGCCATGCATAAGGATAAGCCAGGACCTTGCAGGAAGGTATTTAATTGAGGGAATATATGTCAGTATTAGGCAGAAGCTAGGCATTGTTAATTGGGAGGAGCTGTTAACAGGCAAGTCCACATTTGACATGTGGGAGTTGTTTAAAGACCTGCTGATCAGCGTTCAGGAATGGCATTTTCCAGTAAGGAGGAAGGGCATGGATGGCAAGGGAAGGGACCCTTGGATAACAAGGGTGATTATGAATTTAGTCAAAAGGAACAAAGAAGCACATGTAAGGTTTAGAAAGCTAAAATCAGACAGGGCCTATGAGGAATATAAAGAAACCAGGAGAGCAAGAAGGGGCCAATGCAATGACCTTGGCATTAAGGTTAAAGAGAAACCCAAGGCATTCTATAGATACATTAAAACCAAGAGGATAACTCGAGAGAAGGTAGGGCTACTCAAACATAAAGGAGTGAACTTGTACATGGAGGTAGAGGAAGTGGGCCAGATCCTAAATGAATACTTTGCACTGGTATTCACCCAGATGGAGGATAGTAAGATTAATGTGGAGCGTGCTAACACGCTAGGTATTTTGAGATCAAGAAAGAAGTGGTGTTGGATCTCTTGAAAAACATTAAGGTGAATAAGTTCCCAGGGCCTGATGCTATCTACCCCAGGTTGTTGAGAGAGGCAAGAGAGGGGAGTGCTAGGGTCTTGACCAAGATCTTTGTATCCTCTTGAGAGGTCCCATAGGAATAACCAGTAGCTAATGGTTGTTCTTCTGTTCAAGAAGGGAAATAGGGATAATCCAGGAAACTATATATCCAACCGGAGGGTGCTGAGACATCACTGGCTTGCATTTTGGGAGTGTACTTTGCAGTCAGCGTGCATGTGAAGGGAATCAATCGTGGAAGAATCTGGTGTTAAAGAATGATCATCCACAAACATTACTGTGGTGTTTCCATCCATCCTTCCTCCTGTAATCAACAATAAAGGAGGGGCAAGGTTCGAAGGAGAGGAGACAGAACGTTGTGAGATGAAGGTTGGCAGAGAGAGTTCTGCCGGGTAAAGGAGCATAAGCCTAAACGCTTCTGGAAACTTGTTGAGTAGCAGGTTTTTTTGAGAAATTGTTATCGGAGCAGAGAGCATCAATAGCATCAATTTTGTATTAAAAGTATTTGACATTGTAAGGATTATTTAAGTTAAAAGGATAAAACATAGCAGGAAGGCTCCAAATCATTGTCTGCTCCTCTTACTCAATGTGGGAAGCTGGGCAAATGTCCAGTGCCTGGGACCCGCATGTGTGCAAGAAGTGTCTCCACTGCAGCTCCTGGAAGCCCGAGTTTCGGAGGCGTAGCGGCGTGTGGGGACACTGTGGAGCATTCGCAAGGCGGAGAGCATCGTGGATAGCATGTATAGAGAGGTGGTCACACTGCACTTAGACCCCAGGAAGGGAATGGGTGACCATCAGGCAGAGCAGGAGGGCTAAGCAGGCAGTGATGGAATCTCTTGTGGCTATTCTTCTGCAAAATAGATATTGGATCCTAGATAGTAGGAACTGCAGATGCTGGAGAATCCGAGACAAGGTGCAGAGCTGAATGAACACAGCAGG